TGGGTTTAGGTTGCGTGACGGAGAGAGTACACGGGATTTAGAGTGAGGAAGGCCTGAGTGGAATCCTGTCCCAGTGACTTATTAGCCATGTGACCCTGTGCAAGTCACTTAACCTTTGCCTAAGCTGTCAAGTGCGGCTGATGAAAGCATCTACCTCCCGGGGTTGTTGTGAGGATCAAATGTGACACTGCATGGAAAAAATTAAAGTGCTCCATTAATGCCAGCTGCTGTTATCGTTAACAAGAGATTCTGCCTGTGGCTAGATGCCTGCACACTGTTATTAGAATGCAAGCTTGATGAAGGCAGGGACTGCCCCTTTTTGTCTTTGTATCCCCAGTGCCTGGCACAAGGCAGACCCTTAGTAAAAGCTTGTTGACTGATGGATTGGGGGCTGCCCTACTTGGGTTGCCCACGCTATTACAAGCAATCACTTGCCCGTCCCTCCGGCGCAGGGGGAAGGCAGGAACTGCCACCTCCATTTTAGAGGTGAATGATCTGAGGCCCCAGAGAGGGACAGGGACTGGCCCAAAGCCACAAAGCAAATTAGTAGCTGGGCTGAGGCCTGCACTCAGACCTTCTCTCGGTTAGAGAGACATCTAACAACAGCACTCTGTGATACCAGATCTCTATGATACTTCCCAGCCATAGTCACACCATGCCACCATGCCTACCCCTCCTCCCAATTTCCCTCACACATCCCTATCCAGCTCCTCTTTATATATAGTCTTTATATATTAGAATGTAGGAACTGTCCTTGCCTGTATTTGTATCTATCTATCTATCTATCTATCTATCTATCTATCTATCTATCTACCTATCTATCTATTTCTCTCTCTCTCTTCTCTCTCTCTCTCTCTCTCTCTCTCTCTCTCTCTCTTCTCTCTCTCTCTCTCTCTCTCTCTCTCTCTCTCTCTCTCTCTCTTTCTTCCTCCCTCCTACCACCACCCAGTCATCTCCCTGGTTTTTTCCCTCCCAAGGCTCACCAACCAGCCTCCTAGTCTGACCCTTTACCATGCTGGGTGGACCACCCCCTCTTCCTCCCAGGCCTTGGTGGGCTGCGATCCAGAGCAGAGCAGGCAGCCCAGAGTGAGAGAAGGAGGGGGCGATTCCTCACCCTCGCCCAGCTTCAGAGAGAAGCTGGTGCTGAGGTGGTTGCCATGGCAACAGCAGCTCTCTGGTCCAGAGATTGTCTCTCCTCTCTCTGCCATGGGCAGTGGGATCCCTGGGGTTGGAAAAGGTTCTTGCTCTTCCCCCACCTCCCAACAACTGCTTCAAGGACTCCTCTCCTCATTAACAGTGGTAGAAAATTACATTGAGGATGGTCTGGTTACTCCTCCCCCTACATCAAGAATGTATGAACCAGGGAAATGAAGAGAAGTTGGGGGTGAGGGACAGTGAGGAGTCAGAAAGAAGGAAGGAGAAGAGCCAGTGAGGCCATAGCTTCCCCCTCTATACGAACCCTGAGAAGTCTCAGGGATGGAAAACCCTATGCCTGACTCCAGGGCAGAAGCCAGGCAAAACTAGGGTAAGTAGAGACAAGTCCCAAGAATGGCTTAGGTGAATGACTGCTGAACTTGGAACTAGAGATCTTGTGTTTGAAACCCATCTGTGCCATTTATTACCTGTGTGACCTTGGGTAAGTCACTTAACTGCTCTTGGCCTCAGTTTCCTCAGCTATAAAATGAAGGAATTGAACTAGATCATATCCAAAGTCCTTCCTAGTTCCAAATCTATGATCAATGGCCTTCTCCCCTCCAGCTATCTGTAATGGACCCCTAGTTCTGGGTTGGCCTCAAAGTAACTGGGGGTGTCTAGTGAGCTCCCTGTTCTTGGGTCACAGATGGGACGTTCCCAACCATCTCTAGGCTTCTAGAACCTAGAGTGACACAGAAAGAAGGGACCTTAGAACACAGAATTTGGAGCTGGAAAGGATCTTAGAGATCATCTAGTTCATATAACACAGAACCTAGGATGTCAGGACTGCAAGGGACCTTAGCACACTGAATACTGAATTCCAGAGCTGAAGGGAACCTTATAATATAAAACATAAAAGGTGAAAACTAGAAGGCAGTTTAGCATATAGAATATCAGAGTTGGAAGGGTTTAGAACAGAGAGCCTCAGGGCTGGAAGAACCCTTAGAACATAGAGTGTTTACCTTACAACATAGAATTTCAGAGTTGGAAAGGGTCTTGGAACTTAGAATGTAGAATTCAGAGCTGGGAGGAATCTTGGAACATGGAACACTGGAGCTTCAAGGAACCTTGCTGCACAAAATGTCAGAGCTGGAAGGAACATTGGAATGCAGAATGATGAAGCCTCAAGGGACCTTAAAGCATGGGATGTCAGGGCTAGAATATACAATGGCAGACTGGGGAGAGACGTTAGAGTTCATCTAGTCTAACCACGTCGTTCTACAGAAGGACAAGCCTGAGGCCCAGAAAGGGAAAAGAACTTGTCTAATGTCACAAAGCAAGTCGGTACCAGAAATGAGACTTGAGCTCAAGTCTCCTGATTTTTCATTTCTGGGCTCTCTCCCTTTCTTGAGGTAGGAAGTGGCTTAAACATCCTCAAGTTAGAAGAGGATAGTTCTGAAAGAAGGCAGGATGGATCCGAGAGGAGAGAGATCAGAGACCAGAAGACCAGTTAAAAGGAAGGGACAATGCAACTTCCTGACCAGGAAAGAGGTGATAAAGCTGGAAGAAGGGGGCAGGCTGTGAGGGCAGAGAGCAGGGGATGGGTGGAAGTGAGCTTGCAAGGGAAGACTCAGTAGGTCTTAGTGACCAACTGGCTATGGGGTATCATGCAAAAAGCAGAGGAAAGAGTCCAAGGGAATATCCCAATTCCCTAGTTATGGTTCTCAGAGGCAAGGATGGAAGCAGAATAATCAGTCTGTAATTTATGCTCTGTGCCCGGAACCTGTTCTTCACGAAAGACTTGGAGCTCAGGGGATTTAGGCTTGGAAAGTTCTTTAGAGATCACTGACCCCTCATTTTACAGATGAGGAAACTGAGGCCCTGTGGGGATCACAGGATCATAGACTCAGAGCTAGATGAAACTTTAGAGGTCATCTAGACCACCCCCTCCCCTTTTACAAATGAAGCTAAAGGAAGGTAAGCGATCTGTCCAAGATCACACAGGTAATAAGTTGAAGAGGTAGAATTCAAACTCCGGTCATCTGACTGACTCCAGATCCACTGCCAGGACAACCCAGAATTGAGTCATGTGGCTGGCTGGTGGCCCTCTGGGAGTCAGGGTTACGTGTGTGGAGCTAGGTCATGCTTTAGGCAGGGTGCTGAACTCAAGCAAGGACCTCAAAGCTCCCTTCTGGCTCTGGGATTCAGAAAGTCTATAGGACATTCAGGTATGGTGTTCTGAGGTCTCTTCTGGCTCTGAGATAATGTGATGTGTGTGATTGTGTGTGTGTGCATGAGTGTGCAAATAAGCAAGAAGGAGGGTGACTTTTGGGCATATACAGGTTATGTGGGGGGTAGGTGGGAAGTAGCTATGTGGTGTCTATATTTGGTTATGTGTCGGTATATGGGAAAGGACAGTATTGTAGGGCCATGGATAGACTATGGTGATCTGTGCCTACTATATATAAATGGGGGTGGGGATGGGAGGTAGGGTGTGCCTATGTGGGTAGAGTAGGGGGATGATGTGGGGCCACAGATGTGTTGGGGAGTCATATGTGGGTTGTGTGTGTAGGGGAACTGAGTTTGTGTTTGGTCTGTATGGAACGTGTGTGTGGGATGTGTAAAAGGTATGTGTTTAGGGGTAAAATATATGTGGGTGGTTTCGGGGGGTAGTGTGGGCTGTGCATATAAAAGGTGTGGGTTCTGTGTTTGGTATGGGTGGAATGGAAGTCGGATGTGTGTGGTAGGGAGGAGGCATGTGAGAAGTATATGTATGTGGGGAGCTGTGTGTGTGTGTGTGTGTGTGTGTGTGTGTGTGTGTGTGTGTGTGTGTGTGTGTGTGTAGTGGTTATGAGCATCTTTGGTGAGAGACACCTGGGTGGGGGCAAAGTATAGAGAGAACTCACGTGAGTGAAGAGAATCCCTTTCCTTCCCTCCCCTCCAACACTTTACTCTGGGAAAGGTACCTGGGGGGCCAAGTCTGCTGCCCCTGGCGAGGGGGACCTTTCTACTGGCCAAATGCCGCTGGCCACTGGAGTTCCCCTGCCCAGATCTGCAGGATGAGTCTTGGTGGGTGGATGGGTGGGTGGGGAAAACTGTCCTGAGGCCCTGACCTGTCCTGAAACTGATAGGGCCACCTTGGCTCAGCGTAGGTGGGATGGGACACGCTGAGCTTGCTTCGACTCCCCACTGCCTGAGCTAATGAACAGGGACATAGTGGGACTGGGAGGGAATGGGGAATTAGGGCACAGCTTCCTCTGGAAGGAGGGGGAGGGGGTATGAGGGGATGAAAAATAAAGGATAGGAGATCAGGGAGAGGGAATGGGGGCGGATAAGGGATTAGGGATGAGGTGATGGGAAATGGGCTGCAGAGAATGGGGGGATAATGGATGAGGAAAATGAGGGGTGAGAGATAGGGCATGAGGGAATGAAGGTATGAGGTGTAGGCAGATGGGTAGTGGGTGAGGAGGGGGGCAAGGAGATGAGGGAATGAGGCTATGAGGGAATGAGGCTATAAGGGAATGAGGGGATGGGATGGGAGAATGTGGGATTAGGAGGAGAGAAGATGATGGGATGGAGACGTCCCTTTGGGGATATAGAGATGGGGATGAGGGATGAAGGATAAGAAGATGGGGAAGAGAAGATCGAAAACAAGGGGTGAAGGATGAGAAAATGTGGACAAGGGAATGAGGGTGTCGGGGATAAAGGGAAACGAATGTGATTTGGGTTGAGAATTCTCGGAGCTCAGGCGCTGGAGGCAGGTTTCTATAACAGCCGCCAGTTGAAGAGCCAGAGCCGAGGGAAGGTGGGGCATGGGGGAGGTACCCTCCCCGCGACCCCTGTCCCCTCCATCCCTACAGCAGTACCTGGGGGGAGGGATGCTCCTCGTCCTCGCTGCTCTCTGGTGGTGGGTCTGTCGATCCTCCCCGCTCAGGAGGGTGACGGGCCCCAGGCACCGGGGTCTCGGGGGTCCGGGAGTGGTGAGGGGCGGGACGGACGGACAGGCGGGCAGGCGGACAGACTGGGAGCTTCTGGTTCCCCGCAGGGACTGCCCCCGAATCCAATGTATCACTACGGGCCCCTCAGAGGAGACACTGATTTGCATGGACTCCGCCCCAAGCCCGGCGTCGAGGATTCTGATTGGCTCAGCCGGAGAAGAGTGACAGGAGTGGCCTTCAGGTGGGGTTGGGGAGGCGGGATGTAAGGGAAGAAGAAGCCTGCCTAGATTGGGGCCTTGAAGGCCGCTCTTCTCCGTTTTGGGGGGTCTGGCCCCATCGGGACTGGGGATGACTTCGGTTCTACTGCCCATCAGGTCTTAGACTCAGCCTAGGAAGCAGGGGAGCCCGGTGGAGGTTAGGGAGAGGCTTGGAGGCTGGAAAGAGGACAGTGCAAGTTTGGGGATCCTTCCCCCCAGTTCTGCCCTTTTAGGCAGGAGAGGCAGTGGGGCTTGTCTGGAAGACCTGAGTTCAAGTTCTACGCTGACGCAAACTGTTGACCACGGTCAAATCACGTAACCTCAGAGAGCCCCAATCTCCAAGGCTATGGGATGCAGATCAGTTGCCTGTCCTTTGGTAAAATTGGCAAAATCCCCTCCCACTCGCTGGACCTCAGTTTCTCTATCTGCAAAAGGACCGAAGTGGAAGTGATAATTTCTAAGTACTTCCCAGCTTCTGCCTTCTATGTTCTAGGGCCACTTCCAGATAGGAGGTTCTAAGTGGAAGGGCTGCTGTGCCCTGATAGAATTAAGTTCTCTGAGGGTGTGGCATGTTTCATGCCTGTCTGTGTCCCCATGGCTGGGCACTGAGTATATGCTTAATAAATGCTGACTGATGGATTTGTTGTATCGCCAGACATCGCCTCTGTATCTCATCTGCTTACTTTGTAGAAATAAAAAGGACATTGTGACGGTAAGCTCCCAGTCCCTGGAACTGTTCAAACAGACCGCAGATGACCCTCTGAACATCAGGGGAATTGCTGCAGAAGCAGGGAGTTTGGGCTAAGTGACGTAGGAGAGCCTTTCCAGTCCTTAAGGTCTGGGCATCTGGGCTTTTGCTGGTGTGGCCAATTCTCCTTTTCAGTGTTTTCATAGCACACCTGTGATAAATTGGATAGTGTGATAGAAAAAGCTCTGGGCTTCTCCAGAGGCAGGGGGCAGGAGAAGACCTGAGTTATAGTCCCACCTACACCATGGACTCAAAGTGTGACCTTGAGTAAGTCCCTTCCCTTCTCTGGGCCTGGTTTGTTCTCTATAAAAATGAGGGAGGCAGATTAAATTATCTCTAAGGTTACTTCCAGTTCTAACAGTATTCTGGGTTCTAAGGTCCTCCCAGCTCTGACATTCTGTATTCTAAGGGCCCTCCTAGTTCTGACATTCTGTGTTCTAAGGCTCCTCTCAGTCCTGGCATTCTATGTTCTAAGGGCTCTCCAAGCTCTCTCTTCTACGTTCAAATATCCCTTCTAGCTCTGTGTTCTATGTTCTAATGTTCCTTCTAGCTCTACATTCTGTTTTAATGTCCCTTCCAACTCTGATATTCTGTGTTCTAACGTCCCTTCCAACTCTGTCATTCTCTTCTAATGTCCTTCCTAGCTCTGACATTCTGTGTTCTAAGGTTCCTCCCATCTGCGACATCCTGGGTTCTAAATTCCTCCCCAAATCTGACATTCCATGTTTTAAGGTCCATTCCAGCTCTGACAGTTTATGTTCCAAAGTTTCTTCTAATACCGACATTCTAATACTGACAGTTGGTCCCTTCCAACTGTCAGGTCCTTAGATACTGTTGAGTAATGTAGACAGGGCTAAGGGCTTTGGGAGGATCCCCCCTCTGCCAAAGGGGATCTGGATAGCCCAGGTCTGACTAGCTGCTCCCTCCTTCTCTACCTGACCTGAGGGCAGCAGCCTCCACCCAGCTGGTGTGACAGCCAGCTCTTCCCTCTAGACCACACAGGTATTGTGGTCACTCCTCCTGCCCCTCCTCATCGTTCCCCCAACCACCCCACACTCACCCTATTGCCCCCAAGGAGGAGCTGATCTATGGCTTTAAGAAGGGATAGAGATTCAAGGCAATTCCTTCTCAGAAACAACGGAGTCGTTGCTATGGAAACTGCTAGAGCCCAGAGAAATCTCCCAGTGACCTGGAGCTTTAAAGAGGCTGTGTGTTTCCTCTGCCTAGAAAGCCCATGTGTCTGGGGGTGGGAGTGGAAGGGTGGGGGGCAGAGGAAGGAGGAGAAAGGGATGGATGAGAAGAAGAAGAAATCACTTCACGGTCTGCAAAGTGATTTCTCCTCAGTCACCCTGTGAGGTAGGCGGTGCTGGTGTTCTTATCCCCATTATCCCAAAAGAGGAAACAGGCTCGGATGGGGAAATGATTTATCTAGTGCCACATAGTAAGTATGTCAGAGCCAATAATCTGGCCCAGTCTCCTGACTTCCTGGTCTAGGGCTCTTTGCATTGACTCCCATGTTGCTTCTTGAGAAAGGTGGGACTCAATCAACTTATCTCCTGGGTCCCTTCCCTAAGAGATTAGAGCAGAGGAAGGGCCTGAGGGCAGCAGGGCACAGGGAAGCAGCCCAGGGAGCACACTGCAAGCAGAGTCAGAGAAAAAGAGTTTGGAGAGGCAGAGGACACTGGAGAGAGGGAGAAAGGTGCTATTTCAGAGTAAGGTCTGGTAGTGTTAGAAGAAATATATATATAGGTCATCTATAGAATCTCAGAGCTAGAAGGGACCTCAGAAAACATCTGGTCTTGCCTACATCAACCGCCCTGGGCCTCAGTTTCCTCATTTACAAAATGAGAGAGTTCGCTTCCAAGGACCCTTCTGGCTCCAGGGCCTTGAGGCTGTGATCTGCTTTGTGTCCAGGTCTGGAGCAGAGAGCCGGCATTTCTTCATTAGCATCCCCGATCTGCTGTTCTGCAGTCCCTTGTTTAGAAATCTCCAGCCTAGTCCAGTTTGGGAAGCGCTAGGGCCTGGGGAGGGAGGAGGATGGCTTCAGCACCTTGACTGAAGAGATAGAAAGATGAACAGATGGATGGGTTGCATGGAGGGTGGAGGGGTGGGGAGGGGTGGTTCATGGAAGGTGCCTGAATGCCCGAGTTGTAGATGACAACTGGTCAGTAAATCTGGTCAATAAATATTATTAAGCACCTGCTATGTGCCATGCACTGTGCTAAGCCCTAGGGATACAAAGAAAGGCAAAAGACAGTCCCTGCTTTCAAGGAACTCACAGTCTAGTGGGGCAGACAACATGCAGACAACTGTGTACAAACAAGCTATAGACAGGATAAATTGGAGATAATTAACAGAGGGAAGGCACTCGAATTAAGGGAGAACGGGAAAGGCTTCTTGTAGACAGTGGGATTTTAGCTGGGATTTGAAGGAAAGCCAGGAGGTGGGACATGAGAGAGAGAGAGAGAGCATTCTCAGCATGGGGGATGGCCAGGGAAAATACCCAAAGTCATCATGTATCCAAAGATCCAACAAGGAGATGAGATGTTCTGGGATGAGAGGCCCACCCCAGCTACGATTTTCCCTCTTGAGACAGAAGGCAGCAGTTTAGAGATGCCCTGCTGCAGCATGAAAGGTCCTGTTCTTCCTCTCCTAACCCAGGGGACAAGAGCTACCAGAGACAGCAAACTGCCCGAGACCAGGCTAAGCCCTTCCTTCCTCCTCAGGCCCTAAGGTCATCCATTCCGTCCCCTTCTTTCCCCTCCTCTCCCCTCCCCTTCTTTCCCCTCCCAGCACCCAGACGGCTGCATCCTGTCTGTCTCCTCTGGGGGAAATGCTCGGAATGTTGATACAAGCAGGCCCTGGCGTTTACACTGAGCCCATCTGGAAGGTCTCAGACAGGGCAAGAGGGCCCCAGCCCAGACACCTGTCCAGAGACCTCAGCCTTTCCTGCATCCCAAGGATCTGAGCCTGGGGTCCTGGGCTGGGACCACAAGGAGGCACACTCAGGGGTGGGGTGGGGATGGTGGTGAGGGGTTGAACGATCCGATAAATCTGGGTGCAGGTGACATCGATTTAAGTAACACCTGTTTTAGGCACTGAGCAGGGAGGCAGAGATAAATGGGATGCCTGAGACACGGCCCCCGCTCTCTTGAGCTGTGCACAGACCAGTCAGGAAGAGATAAGATGCACGCACAAAAAACCATAACACAAAGGAGAAGATGATGGATGAGTGCGTAAGAGAGGTAAAAACAACACTCTTTGTGAGTTCAAGGTCGCACAGGGAGTTAATAGTTCCTGAGGGAGGGAGGGCTTACCTCCTGCTGTGGGGATCAAGGAAGTCTTCTGGGATGGGGTACATCTAAAGAAGAATTCATTTCAGTAGAGATTGAAGGGTGGGGCAGGGCATTCCTGGCAGGGGAAAGGGAAGAGCCCAGCTGGGTTTAAGTCACAGCTCCTCCACGAGTTTATTGTGGAACCTTGGGCAAGCCTTTCTCACATTACCTCAGTTTCCTCATCTGTAAAATGGGGGGAGTGAACATGATGATCGAAGGTCCCTTAGGGTTCCGATGCACACAGTAAGGGCATAATAAATCTTTGCTAACCGTGAATTAATTCCACAAACTTCACCACTTTCTTGCCTTCCTTTTTGGGTCTCAATGGATTGGACATACTGCCCACACACTGCTGCCCCCCATGAGTGGAGGCTGAGCTTCAGTTCTAGCGGTCCTTGGAGGAATGGAGGCTGTGTTTCCTCCTATAAGGAGGCAGTCAGGATCTGGGGAATGGAGAGCGATGGGTCTAAAGTCAGAGAGGCCAGAGTTGGAATCCTGCCTCAGACATTAGCTGTGGGATGCTGGGCCATTCCCTTAACTCTCCGGGCCTAAGTTTCTTCATCTGTAAGAGGAGGGGTTTGGACTCGATGACCTCTAAGATCCTTTCTGGCTCTAAATCTATGGTCCTATGATGCCAAAGGGGCAGGGGCAGGGGCAGACTTCAGGGGGAACATGCAACCAGTGAAGCCTGGAAACAAGGCTGGGCTAACGGCAGGGGAGTCAGATCTTGAGTCCGAAGACTTGAGTTCAAGTCTTCAGTCTGGCATCTACTAACTCTGGCTGCTGACCTTGGGCAAAT